AGAACGAATTATATATTAATGTTTTTAATGTTGGAAATTGGTTCCATTTAAAAGTTTGGAAATCATGAGCAAGCTAGCTTAGCGCTATTCTAACCAAAAGTTTTAGCCTGAGACCGATTTAGCTTTCTTCTCTTTTTGACACTTTCACCAAACTTAAAACAAATTACAACCTAAACCGGAGAATAATTGCCTGTAACCAATAATATGTTAAACAAATGTCCCCCCCCCCCTCCCCCCATTTCCGTGCCATAATTTGAGATTGGGGTTTGTTCCAGGCTATACAGGGATAAACATGGTTTACAAGTGCAAAAATACATTTTTTTTTATTTGTCAAATAAAGTCCAAAAATTATAGGTCTCGTTAAACTTTACCTATGCTTGTGAATTTGTAGCAGGGTAGTTCAAAAATCATAACATTTTACTACAGGTGTTAAATAATGATGTCTGTTGTTATTGCTTAGTACTTAATATTTTCATTAAATATAATGTACACGTAATTTAAAGTGACTTTTTAGCAAAAATGTTTGAGTTATCCCTATTTTTTATCTTAAAATTAATTATTTTCAATTGTTGTTCTCTGTAATAATAACTTTCAATATATGCAACATGAGAGACAGAAGAAATTGTCAGAGTTTCATAATTTCCATTAAAAAGCAACAACAAAGATATCTTACTCAATGTTTCTCAGATAAATGGATAAGAAGTGTATAGTATTGTAGATTTTTTAATAAAATTTTTGATATTAGTGTTTTATCAAAGCAAAAATGATGAAAGATTGAGCAATAATTAAAAGTTGAAATAGAAGATGGGCGCGAAGCGCCCTAATAGCCTAACTAGTGTACAATTGTTATGTTTCATGTTCATAGGAGTAATTAAATCATAACTTGAGTCTAAAACTTGTCTTAATTTTCCACATTTTATTGATTTCCCTGTAATTGGCGTGGATTGAAATTTGCTCGACAAAAGAGGTTTTGGGACCTCCGGGCGAGAAATTCAACCATTTTTAGACGCGTGTAGCTTCACCTTAAAGCGTGTATACATGTAAATAAAGCTGGAAGGAAATTATAAACAATTTATGTGTAAAGTGTATTATCAAAGTATAAAATGGCGTCCAGCGTTTCAAGATTTTTCTCTGCTAAACCTTGATAAAATTATATACCATTATTTAATGGTATACACTAATATAATGCGAGAGCGATGGGTGAAGGGGGGGGAGGGGGGTTATTAGATTAATTAATGCCAAGTGCATGGTTTAGCCGTTGTTCTCCATCAGTTCATCTCCCGTATGATGGATATTAGTTTTAACCATTTGAACATCATTCAAACGCAATGTTAAAACATTAAGATTTATTAATGAGCATAAACAAATCTAGTTCAAGTGGTAAAAGTAAAAAAGCTATCTCCTCATAAATATTCATTTCAAATTATTAATTCAGGCATTTAAATCTTTTTTTTTCAATCAGAATACATTTATAAACATGGCAAGTGTCAAAACATTGCTTTTGGAACATTGTGTTGAAATAATTTCAACACGATGGGTGATTTTTGATTACATAATTAAAACATACAACGTACAGACAGATTATAAAAACTGTCGCATACATGTGGTAAGTGGACTATACATATCAACAGCAGTTAAGTAACCATGTAAAAGCGTGTCTAAACGGTCTCGTGTATAGTTCTCGTAAAGAATGTAGGGTATGGTTGTTATGGTATGATATTAGGATGCAAATAATAAAATTTAGGTTTGGTAGCTTCAGGCATACAGCCGGGAGAATACTTTTCTTTACCAAACCTAAGGGTTATTCTTGCGAACATATTACCATAGGGGAGGGAGGGGGGTATGGGGGAGGGGTTAGCATATTGGGACGGAGTTAAGCATAGAGGTGAAAGCATAGTGTTTTGGCATAAAAGGAAAGGATTGGTAACTTTGGGAGGAGGATCTTATAGAATGAGAGGTTGGCTTTAGTTTAGAATAAAAAAGGGTGAGGGTATGGTTAGAATTATTATTATTTTTCATCATTATAGGGAGTTGTTTAGAATAAAGTACATGGTTATAAGGAAAATTAACTCAGATTTTGATTTACAATATATAGGTTTTTTTCACTTAAAACATAAAAGGGGGCCGGGGTGCATGGCAAAATAGAATAAGTCAAAAATGTATTGGCATGAACAAATTAAATATGCTGTACCAAGGGGTAGATGTAAAATATAGAATATGGAAGTACTTTGCCAATTAACTGCAAACTTTGAAATTCTTTACATTTTTGCAACATATATTTATCTTTACACATACTTAACAGTGGCATGGTTTAAGGGTTGGAGACTTCAAAAGTTTGGCATTTTTGGTCGAAAATAAACATTTAAAAACTATGCCAGCAATTCTCACTTTCTGTACAACAATTTCCAGCATCCGTTTAAATACAATTATACCACTTGACAATTCCACTTTTCATACAGGCAGCTGAATTTGGTAAAATTTGCGGATTTTCTTCAAAAATTTTGGCGGGTTTTGTTAAAACTGCGGAAACAAAAGTCACGTTTAAGGTATTTATGTTTAAGTGCAGAGAACCTCCCCTCCTAACGTTGAGCAACTCTGCAATTCTTTTACAAAAACAAAATAGTTTAAGTTTAAATGCACTGAACCGTTCTGCATACACCGGCGGGGTTTAATGCTTTCAAAATACCAAATATTAGCATTCAACTAATATTAAAATGGCCTGTCTACTTTTCCTCTGTAATTTCGCAGTAAAACACGAGTTAGACCTGAAAATATAATCCATTGCAAACTCTGTTTTTGTTTTCTGATCTTTTAACCTTCAAAATATAGAGTTGGGTGAGAGCAAATATCGCTTCTTTACACCAAATCTGTTTCAATTTATTATTTTATACAATGAGACCCATACTACTGTGAAATATGAATACGACATGTGAGGGACGATTCACACCAGCAACTTTAAATCTGATCAAGTTTGCTTTGTTTCATGTTCATAATTGACTTTTCATACGGGGTGTCCCAATAAAATTGGGAATTCAGTGACGAATTCGATATCGTCTTTTTAAATAATTCTTTGATTTAGTATAGTGATACCTACAGAGAAAGCTGTAATCTGTAAGAGTATCGTCTGCTATGTTCACATTTTGTTTGTTTACGTTTTGACTGCATACGGTTGTACTTAGTAAAACAAGAAAATTGCAGTATACAAACAGATTAAACTTGTTAGCCTTCACTGTTCATCTTGCGGAGACATTATAGACACATCTTTACTGTCTTTTACCCTTTTCATAAAATAAACTCTAGCAGACATAATAATATTATGGCTTTTGAAATTAGGTATTACAATGCTATAATTCGTAACAAACCCGATATCGAATTCGTCACTGAATTCCCATGTTTTTTGGGACGCCCTGTAATACATAGCTATACAGTTCTCACTGTGTTTGTTTATATGGATGAAGTTCTATGTCAAAATACTAAAACTAAAAGTACATATTTTAAGCAACGCATACGTTGTTCTAAAAGTACATATTTTAAGCAACGCATACGTTGTTCTAAAAGAACATATTTTAAGCAACGCATACGTTGTTCTAAAAGTACATATTTTAAGAAACGTATACGTTGTTCTAAAAGTACATATTTTAAGCAACGCATACGTTGTTCTAAAAGTACATATTTTAAGCAACGCATACGTTGTTCTAAAAGAACATATTTTAAGCAACGCATACGTTGTTCTAAAAGTACATATTTTAAGAAACGTATACGTTGTTCTAAAAGTACATATTTTAAGCAACGCATACGTTGTTCTAAAAGTACATATTTTAAGCAACGCATACGTTGTTCTAAAAGAACATATTTTAAGCAACGCATACGTTGTTCTAAAAGTACATATTTTAAGAAACGTATACGTTGTTCAAAAAGTACATATTTTAAGCAACGCATACGTTGTTCTAAACGTACATATTTTAAGCAACGCATACGTTGTTCTAAGAGTACATATTTTAAGAAACGTATTCGTTGTTCTAAAAGTACATATATTTATACCATACTACTTATAATTTGCAATTTATATAGAGTATAATTAATATACACTTTGTGCTTTAAACTTTGCTTGACATGAATTTTACAAAATGGACGAAAACGATATTTCGTAATATCTTTCAAGAAAATAATCTTTAATTTCTGCGTTGAAATTTTAACGCTCTATGCTCTTCACTTTTCATTTAAAACTCTAAACTCTAAACTCTAAACTCTACACTTCATTTTCTATATTTCGCACACTCTACTCTATACTTTCTATGCACTCTACACTTACACTTTACATATCTCTACACTCTACACTTACACTTTACATATCTCTACACTCTACACTCACACTTACTTTCTGCATTATACAACCTACACTCTACACTTTACATATCTCTACACTCTACACTCGCACTTTACATATATCTATCTACACTCTACACTCTACACTCTACACTCTACACTCTACACTCTACACTCTACACTCTACCACTCTACACTCTACATAAATGGTCAATTTAGATAAGAGTTCTATCTTCAACTTAAATCCTTTCTACCAGGATGAGTTTTAATTTTCTAAGATATATTTGTACAGAATAAATTACAATTCAGGTTGAATTAATCTTCAAAATCAAACGAAGGATTCTCTTCTTCTTCTCTTATCCTTGAAATCCTGGTTCCCGCTGGACCCGGAGTAGGATTGGATATCCAACCCTTTACTTCTCTCATCTTGATCCCCTCCGTCCTGGGGGCTCCAGGTACCAGAGTAAGTACTTTGCTTCCCACTCCAGGTTTGGGAAATAATCTCAGATTCACAGCTTTGTCTCATAAGTTCCCATTCTCGCCTCTGAAGCTCAGAGTTTAACTCGCTTTGTTCGCTACCAGAACTCTCTACTCGAGTTGGTAGATTTTGGTAGGTGACGTACAGAGAACTCTGGGGTTTAGAAGTCATAAACACTGAGTCAGTTGAATACTCACTTGGAGAGGTCCTGGGTGGGGAGTAAGTCCCAGTTTTAGGAGAATAAGCCCCAGCCTCCGGAGAGTAAGTCTCTGACTCTGAAGAATAAGTTCCAACCGTAGTAGAATAAGTCCCGGCTTGGCTTGGATAGTGCTGTGAAATATATCCGGATTCCGGATGGTCGAAAGCTTTATCCGGATAAGTGAATGAATACCGGCTGGCCGGGAGTAGAGTGGATGGCCCCAGTTCTTTAATATAATCTAAAGAATCAGATTTATCCAGAACATCCTTTTTCTTTGTCCTACAAATGAACGCTATACCAAAACAGAGTGCTATTAGAGCCAATCCTGTCAAACTTCCTGACACTATATATACTATATTATCATCTTTGTGCTGAAAGATCGGTGCAGACTTTAGAGATGATTCTTCAGGATTCTCAGGAACAGTTGGAACCTCGTCAATAAAGACAGGAACTAGGTTGGACACAAGACCTCTATTGTTGGAATCATCTACAGCTACTACTCCGTAGTAGAATATTTCATTATGCCAGGGGAGGGTGATGTTAACCTCCTGAATTGAACCTGGAGAACCAGGAACAGGAACTAGGATATCAGGAACTGGAATTCCAATCACAGAAAAGTTTTCTTCATTTAGAGCAGCTCTGTTGGTGTAGCAGCGAATATCATATCGGGAAACAGCTCCTCCTGTGTTAAGATCTCCACCAGGAGCTGTCCAAGCCAGCTGGACCTGGAGGCTGTCCGACAAATAATTCTCCACCTTCAAATCTATGATTCTAGCTGGAGGAAATTTGTCATTCATTTGTGGTATTCCATCTCTTATGAAATATTCTGCGCCCTCAGCTAAATAGAATGTGGCGCGTGCGTAGCGCGTGAATGACGGCGTTGGGGTCTCTGAATTGTCCAGATTTAAGATTTGTGCTCCTCCTGCCCCGTCTGAAGCCTGTAGATTGGTGGTATAGAATCCTGGTTTCGAAGAGATCTGAGTGAAATATGCAGAGTAGATGCCATCACCCGGGGTAATGTCTGGATATCCTCCCCCCATATCTTGTAGGACCAACTCCAGATTTCCCTCCCCGGGCAATATGATACTAGCGGTAACACTAGCATTAGAAACTGGTAGAGAACCATACCTTACTCTAGCATAGATTATAGTAGGTGTCTCATTACTTAACCATACCTGGAGAGAACCAGTTTCCGCTTCATTTTTCTCCGCCGTGGCGGATATGGACACTTGAAAGGATTGGCGGGAGGCGGATGAAACTGTTTTGAAGTTGTATCCCCATACTCCAGGCTCACTGAGACCAGGGAACTGGAAGTGAAGTATTCCATGCTCTACAACCGGAAATTGGAACTGTTTCCCTGACGGTGAGATAAGTTCAAACATCTCAACATCCTCCTTCATTTCCGTCCCAGCTACAACATGAAGTCCGGACCGTAAACTCTCTTCAACAACAAACTTCCCACCAATCCGTTCATTGGACTGAACCCTGAACTTCCGTGTGTAGAATCTAAACCTTGACTCAATCATTTCTTCAGTCTTGAGTATCTGGTAAAAGATGTCTGCAACATCATCAACATTATCATTTTCCCTCAGGATAAAAACATCCTCAGCAGAAGAACTGATCAGATTCTGTTCCATATCAGAGTATCCAATCAGGTACAAGGACAAGTTCTTTACCAACTGGGGGCTTACATCCTTGTGCCCTTCCCCGGATGAAACCAAGATAACTTTCCCGCCATTTTTTACCATTTCTCCGGCGGATTTCAATCCGCAGGCGAGGCACGGTTTCCCGGATTTGCCAACTCTTCCTGGAATTTTTCCGTGGATTCCAGCCCGGTTAAATTCTGTGATTTCCGTAGGCTCCAGGTTGATTTTTTCCTCTGCATCGTAGGTAATGATCCCTATTCTAGTCCCACTCGGTATATCTGATATGATCCTGAAAAATATTGACTTATCATCATCAAATCTATTGAAGTCCAAACTCAATTTCTGCTCATTTTTTGCTCGGAATGCGTGGCTGAATAGATAACCGCCATGTGATATAAAGTTTCTAGAATGACACCAAATTCAACACAATACATACTTAACAACAATGCAAGCCAAAATGTTGTGTAAAATTCGAAAATTGCATTATATCATCAGAAGAGAAGATTGAACAAAAAAATGTGATCATAGTTGAACTCATAAAACTGTGGTAAAGCGAGACGACATTTAAGCAATCTTATCTAATCTAATCTAAAGCAAACAGTTGCTTGGAAATCAGCTTGCTAAGTTAAATGAGTGTACAATGTACACTGTACAGTGTACACTACACAATCGCTAATTTGTAGGTTTATTAAGTCTAACATGCAGTTTCATATTAGAAAAAAGTTTAAGATCGAAATTTCGAAATTTACCTGTGTAATGCATTGTGCACATTTTTCCATCTGTTGAGATCTTCCATTTGAGCAGATCTATCCAGCAGGAGAACCAGAACAGGTTCAAGGGTTAGACTGTATACAAACTCAGGAACCAGGTCGGTCTGGTTCTCCGAGTCCTGCTCAGGCAGGGTTTGGTTCAGCTCCGGGTATGTTTGTCGGATGATCTGGAGCCAGGATTGTCCAGAGCAGAGAAGGTTCTGTTTGGTCGGAGCATCAGGGTTGTAATCAAGATCGGAGCAAATCTAAAATAAAACAATAAAGTTTTTCTCTTTCATTTCATTATGTTGACAGCTAAACCCAAGGAGTAAGAACTATACAAAAATGAACTGCCGTTTTTTTGAGAAAATTTTGTTTTCATTTTTTTCAACAAATATAAGTATCATTTTCATCTTCATATCCTACATGGGATTATTTTTGTTATGATTTGTGGGTCAATAAATTGAAAAATAGAGTTTAAATAAATAAATAAATAAATAAATTTAAATAACAAGTGTGAAAATATCACTTACATTGTCCCCTGAGAAGCAACCGAGGTTGTCAAACAACTGGTTTCCAACACTATATTGAGCTGGGTATCTCTTAGAGCTGTTACTCCCGCTGTTGGAGAACAGTCCAAAGCTGTTGGATAACAGCTGAGTAAAGAATGTCTGATCTGAAAATATAAAGTTTCAATTTTAAATTGATTTTGACTCATTCCAAATTGATAGGAATCTTTCACAATAAATTGTACAGACAGGGATAACATTTTTTCAAAAAAAATTTATTTTTCGAGATTTTAATTTATAAATTAAAACCTAATTTATTTATTTTTTCAGAGTAAACTGATAAGTTCCACCCCTGAAAATTGAATTACTTTTTCCTGAGGCCCCTTGGTATTAATCTATAGTAAGATCTATGATATCTAGCAAGGTAATAAAGATGTATCAATCTGTCCATGGGTGTACACAGGAGGGGGGGAGGCGGGACTTTAGGACCGAGCCTCCCCATCTCTGTAAAAGTGACTATTATGGCTTATACTGTGTGTTAAGCCTCAAAAAGGCTCTGAGTCTCCTTTTAAAAAGTAAAAAAAAAACGTTTAAGCCCCCCTACCCCTGGCACATTTGTATGTGTACGCCCCTGAATCTGTCCTGATTTTTATAAAGGCCCCAATAATAATACTAGCCAAGGCAGTTTAAGATAAAAAACTAGATTTTTATCAAATTTTTATTGGAATTAAATAGTTGTAACTACAAGGTTATTGGGCACCTAATTGACACTATAAAATTAGCACTTTTAAAGGGGGAGGGGGGAGGAATGGGGGGGGGTCTAAAAAGATTGTAGATCAATTTCAAGTGATGTCAATTTATAAAGTAGCATGTCTGATTCACAATTAAAGACGATATCTTCCTTATTGTTACATGGATAAAGTGTTAAAGGGCACTGAGGTGAACTGTAAATGCCTCTAAAGAAAGGTCACTTAAATAAACGTGTTCTGTTCCTTTAATGTTTAAAAATTTACCTGTATTTTTCGTAATATTTTGACTTATAGAGGTTAGAGGGAGGGATAAGGACAGCCCTCTCGTGCCACACCCTCCAAATTGTCCCCCTCGGGGCAGGCTGTAAGGCGTGTCCTCAACAACAACATCTAGGGCAGAGGCTAGGCTGGGGGCGGACATGGCGGAGGAGCTGCAAGGTGAGTGTTGCCAGGAGGGCGGAAGATGTATGGTAACTCTATTTATTGGGTATCCGGTAACAGAATAGAACTGACGAGAACTGGAGGTCAGCAAATCCTGAGAAAAATGCAATAAAAATCATGATGCACTAATAATAATAATTATAATAATATTTATGAAAAAATGAAAGAAATCACAATTCTAATGATACTGATAGAGTAACATAGAGTAATGATGAAAGTAATAGTAATAGTAAAAATAATATGTTGTATATTATTACTACTATAATGATAAAATTATTTATTATAGAGATATGGATAACAGAAATATTAATAACGATGATTTTAATAAAATTTAAAATAAAGAAAAAAACATTATTATCAAATTTTAACAAAACATACAGGAGAAAAATAAAAGGGAAAAACAAATAAAGCATGTTATTTACAATTAATATTATTTAGATTAATTCTTATCTCTATAAATATACTCCAATTAGCAATTATGATTTGTTTATAAAGATGATGTATACAGACTAAACAAAGATTACTTTTTTATTGTAAAATTAAGCTGTAATTCCATAAACTGAAGGCATACATAGTCAAAGGACTCAAAATGCGGCAAAATTATGTTTTATTAATCACAAAAGATGAGCTAGAGAACGATATTGTAATCCTAAACACTTCAAATAATGGATCAAAATATTAAATATGATTACCTCTAAATTATTTAATATATTTTCACAGTTTAATGCCGGAATATCTTTAGATATTTTAATTTCAAGTTCTTCTAATATTTTAGACTGTGTCACTGCAACTGACAAAGTTAAGATTATTAAGTTACTCCACTTCATTTTGATTTCTAATGTTTCTGTTCACAAAATCATAGCGTAAGTGTATGAACGTCTTTAATGCTCGACGTTTTAAGATGAACTGACTGAGTTGGATTTTGGGGGATTTATTGGTCCTGAAAATTAGTAGCGGCACGGTCGGTCCGGTACAACATGGCAGGAAAACCAGCACGTAGGGGGGGGGGGGAGTTCCGGTGCGGTACCAACAACTGATGCCGGGATGAGAAATCATGCCGGTACAAAATAATCCAGACTTTTTTCTCATCTTTAGAGGCTCCAATTTGATTAACGATTGCTGGAGCTTTTTGAGTGTTTAATATACAAATATCTTTATTTTTATCAGATTTTCCTTTAAGCATCGAGTTTTATGTGTCTGTAAATTTATCTGTTACTTATTAAGTATTGACAAAAAAGCATTTATTCTTAGTTAAGAAAAGTGTACATATATATTTTGTTGATAAAAAGGAAAAGGGTGTCATGATTTTTTCTATCCCCAAAACTGTAACAAATAAAAAGTTCTATTGTCTAAACTTTATAAATGTAACGAGGTTGCGTGATTTTTTATTGCTTTAAACTTTTCATAAAACTGAGATCTTGAGAATACACAACATGCTTAGAATTTATATATATATGTAGCTAAATCTTCCTATTCTCATACTGGTGCGTCAAATCAAACCTAAAGAACCTACGATGTCGCAAAGTTGTATCAGTAATGTTGCATAAATTTGATTTTCTCCTTTTGTCTAGTTCAGTATAATGCCCTTTTCAACATAAAGGAAAATAAAAGTAATTTGAGTAAAGAACACAGGAAAATTATTAATTAAACAAACTGAACTTAACCGTGCTTCGGAGAGACAAATATTAAGTTTTCAAAAATATCTTAACTTTCAACAAAATATTACTTTAAACACTAAAACCACGAATTCGAAAATCTTTTTAATTTTTTTTCAATTAAGAAAGGAATTAATACAAAGTCATATTTTCTAATCCCTATATCTTTGGAATCCCTATATCTTTCAAACTAGGAATTCTGTCAAATCAAATATACTAAGTTAGAAAAATCAAAGGTTTACACCATCAGGTAGCAAAGATTTAGGGTTTAAAAAATTCGAGTTTGCGGGAAAGACTCAATTCCTACATCCTTTACATTTTCAAAGATGAATTACATTGATTTAGTGTAGTAAATTTTATATATATAGATGCATTTGTACAATATATATTGTGTGGTATATATGTAAATGTATTTATATGGTAAAAAAAGTCGGTTATTTATATTTGAGTTTGAATATCTGCATTCTCCTTTAAACTGCCATGAATCCCTCATATTCAAAATTATCTTTAAATCTCGTGAATTCTGCCCTATTCATCTATCTATCAAAACAATGTATTGTAAAGGGTGATCCAAAAAAAAATCGAATGTTTATAAAAAAAACTTAAATTTTAAGCTGTTCCTCACTTAGCTATTCAAGCTTATCCTTATTTCCTTATTAATAAAAAAATTTGACATATTTTTTGGACACCCTGGATGGTTTGTGATTTATGCATATTAGAGGGTCGGCGAAGTTTATGTAAATTCTAGTCCAGGATAGATTTCAGTTTCCTTGTTCATAAACTGATATTTGAGCGTTCTAATGTTGAAATATCTCACAAACACTGTTCTACGCAAATCGCAAATATCTTAAGAAACATGAGTTGCATTTGAATACATCAGATTTTATTTGAAATCATATAAACTTTAAATCTAACTCAGCACAATGCCCAATTCTCATTGTAAGAATATTTGCCAATTATTTTAAAGATTTTTGCAATTTGTGAGATATCGATCATCTTCTCTTTGAAAGTTGATTATTTTTAAAGGCGGTTTCTATATAAAGTGACTTGCGCATTTTTGCTTCGGAAACAATGAAGAGGAAATTGTCAAAATAAAACACTTTTCAAACTAAAAAAATGAGTACTTTTTCCCAACTATATTGGCCAGATAAATGTTTAATGGGTCCTGTATTCCCGTCTTAAATTGGAAATTACTTGGAATTATTACGATAGTTTCTTTAAACCATGAGTTACGTTAAAAATAGACATTTTCTGTAAAATCATGGGAGTGGGGGGAGGAGATTATTGTTTATATGTTTACAGTTTTAATGATTCAATATATGAATAAGAACAAATTTGCTGTTGAGGTAAAAGTAGGATAAAATCATTTCCATTTTGGACTGCAAGGTAGACCTATTATCCCGAGGGCTTGAAACTACTCATGTTGATCAAACCGTCTCCATTTTAGGAGTGTCCTGAATTTTTATTAAAATCCGGTCAAAATTGGAGCGTTGAATTTAATGCGCCAGTGCGACCTTCTTCGCATACATACAAGCAATGATAATTAATTGCATTGAAGGAACTGCAAGCGTAAGTTCTAATGACTCGAATGTAAAGATGGTAGTAACTGCTTCAAACTTAACTTGTACCCATAACCTTTATCTGATCAACAATAAGAAGGAAGATATTGTATTTTTTTAGTTTTGCTTGTTTTACTAGAGTAGAAATGCATAAGCTACTTTTTTAGAGAAAACACAATTAAAAATAATTAATTTTTAAGATTATATATACTTGATCAGACAAAGCTATTAAGAGTGAATTGAAAATTGCATAAAGAGTCACTTGAAATTACACTTACAGTTCCTTTCAGTAAAAACAATTTGCAATGAAACGTTCCAGTCGCGGATTTCCGCATTTAAGAAATATATTTTGTGTGCCCCAGGTCCTATTCTGATTTCTTGAATAAAGATTTCAAGATTGATTTATTTTTTCATTAAACGATCTAATTTCAGCCTCCCGCCATCCTTCAAGACGCCATTTTGAATAAAACAGCATGGACCGCGCCATTTTGTTTAACATTTTTATTTTTTCAATTTCAAATATTTTGGGCATCAAATTTTGTATCAATATTTATATTTAACCAAAAAACACCGAGGAATCTTTTAATGGCACACTCTCCCGTCTTGAAAAGCATCTATGAATTTATTTTATCTAAATTTAACCCTAAAATTATTCAAAATATTCAGAATCTGTTGGGAGAAGAACACTATAGTTAGGGCTCAACAATTTATTATAGAAATTTTTGAGATCACACAACTATCATTTGTGTCTGCCTTTTGTAACCTTTTTAGACAGAATGTTAAATAAAATAAAATCTAAATTTGAAATAAACATTTGTTTTATAATAGAATTTTTCATATTAACAATTAGTTATTTATTTTTTATTGAATTTACTGAAACTTGTTAGTTTAGATTACTTACTTTATTTATTTTAGATTATCACGGATTATAGCATTAATTTTAATCCACACCCAATCTCCCCTCACCTCCCCATTCCCGGGCAGTCCCACCCTCTACTTCAGGGGCGATGTAATACTAACATTTTTAATCTTTAAATAGAATATTTGTGTTAAATTAATATTAGCTTATATGACCTCCCCTCCCCCGGTCAAACGAACCACGCCCCCCTCACCTCTACGGGGTCAAGCCCTGTCCCACCCATTGGTGACAGGAAACCCCTCTCTAGGTTGATCTGTGTGATCTTCATGATAATCCGTCCTGGGAAATATATTTAATCTAAACTCACACATTTAGCTATTAAACCTAATCAAACAAATCCTATATTTGAGATAGGACTATCGAAAATGAAAAACCCCAGTTATAAAAATTTTTGAAAAACGTCTAAAAATATATGTTGGAATTATTGAAAAATTTAAAAACCCGCAAAAAAATTTGTTAGAATTTTAAATAATCTCAAAAAAAAAATTCAATTGATAGAATCTCAAAAACTTCTGTATTATAGACTCTCAGTTAAAACGTTCATAATATCTTCTCAAAAAATTAATAGAATCTCCGAAAACTAAAATCTGAAAAAAGTTCAATAAAATTTAATAAAATGTTAGAACCAAGACAATAATGATAGAAATTAGTCAAACCCTTTGAACGACATGCCATTTTAAATAAAGTAAATTGCGCGAAAGATTAAAATCTTGTATGCAGACTTTTAATCATAACTTTTTTGATTGAGAAGAACAAAAATGTTTTGAGTTTCTAATATATTATCGAATATATAAGCTAAATTTTGTACGTGAAACAAAACTAAATGTTACGAAGTCACATTCGTCACAATCATTAATGTTGCGGGTATTTTACTATTTTCTTCAGGCTGGATACATTTCCGAATCATGTTAATGTTAGAATTATATGGGAAATAACTTTAAAAAGCATAACGTCTNNNNGCCCCCCCCCCCCGGTCAACCTTTCCGTCTGTCTGTCTGCCAGACGATCTGTTCGATCCGTCTGGGCTTTTTTTCTCATGATACAATCATATAATAGTAAACAGTCTGTCATTCATGTTTTCTTGAAAGCGTATTTCCAATCAACGTATTGAATTCTACTCTACAACTTCTGTATTCCAAATCGAAACACATCGGGTTAGAATCCGAATATTTGGTCAGCCAAGGTGCTGGTCTGATTTTCCGATTTATCAACCTGTATTTGAACATTTTCATTCACCATCTGTGAAATAACTTTCTTGTCATTTTTTATCGTCTAAGAACCGTCGGTCATTTTTTCTTCAATTCTTTGATTTTTTTGTAAGAGGGATTTTACAAACTAAAAAATTATCGATGAAAAAATGCTAGATTTAGAAGGAGATATCCAGTTTAATGGGTTATCGAAGTATTTAAAGTCTGATAACACTCAATAAAACGATTTTCAAGACTCATCTTTCAACCCACTTTTATCATCAAACCCTCCCCCCCTCTCTTTCTTCTCCCCCTCCCCAGGACGCCTTCATTTAAACCTTTCAATTGATTTCTCGACTTATATCATGTAAAAACCTTTTGAATTGACAAAACTAATTAAAATCTGTTTGAATAAAATAAACTTCTTAATTTAATATCTCAATGGCAAAAACATAAAGAAAGGACAGGTTAAATTCAACTAATTTGAAACACTTTACAAAGGTAAGTTAAATTTTAGATATTTTAAAATTGTATTGGCAAAAGTGACCAAGAAAATGTGGAGTAACTGTGACATTTTTTACAGGGTTAACAAAT